CCCCGGACTGACGGATGCCATTATATATATATATATATATATATATATATATATATATATATATATATATATATATATATAAACAGACAACGTACTGATCGGCACTCATAGAAAGAAGTAAAAAGATAGAAAAATACACCAGACAACAAAAAACTCGAAAGATATAATTACCGCGCTTGCTGGTGTAGTAGCACCTCTGCAACCTCATCCCACTTCCTTTGTCGTGTTGAAGCCCAATACTTCCAATTCAGCGGGCAGTATCTGCCATGAGACTAACTGTACCTGTAGTATAATTGGAATATGATCACTTCTGCAGTCTGCCCCTGTTCCAATCAAACTGCTTATGTCTACTTTTGGAATTGACACAGCTTTCATTAAACTCTGAGCCTTATAGTCCGCAAGGAAGTAAGAAAATCTAAATTCCTAAATTCGAACCTCCTAGAAGCGGGTTCAAGCTTGGCAAGTGACATCCCTTGTTTTTTAAAATGTTTAATTTTTCGGTTGTCAGAGTATACTTGTGTTCCTTAAACTAAAAGCTCTTAGACACTCTTTCAGAATCAGAGTGCATTCGCCTGGGAGGCGAGGAACCATCTGTCTGCACACAAATAAGTAAGACTGTAAAACGGATGTGCGCACAAAAATCAAGTTCTGGAACAAGATTAAAGTCCAAAAGTAAACAAACAGCCAAAACTTTTCTACGGTGTTTACAATTGAAGAAAGTTAGGAAAAAGAAAAAGAAGAAGCGAGACCAATATTTTTATGCACCGATGGAAGCTCGTTGGCTGACTGTTCAGGGTCAGTAACTGGTATAATCAGGTGACACGCTCCTAACGCTAAACCCACTTCGTTACCTGAAAGTACAGCACGACAAAACAAAAACTTTGTAGTCGTTAAACTCAATGTAGGAGTCATTAATAGCAACTCTATCTCAGTAGACGGACACTGGCTGCTGCACCGAAAAACTGAGCATCAGTGGAAATGCCTTAAGCATCGATCGTACAAACATAACAGCGAGACGCTGGTCCTTACAGTAAGTTGATATTTTCATACTTGTTTGCGTGTGTTTTTAAAATACTGTCTAGCGCAGAGGTTCTCAAGTGAAGGACACAGTAGCCCTAGCGGATCCACGTACACTTCCGTTGAGCTTCCTGGGTCCCCACAAAATAAAACAAAAATTAAACGAAATTAAAGATAAGGAGGGGGAAAAGGGTGGGGGGCAAGGGGGGCAAACCAAGAAAACTAGATAATAAATTCCGAACATAAATTTGCAATATCGAATTACGTGGTCAATCTGCTGCTACTAGCTCCAAAACTATTGTAGAGCCAGACAAACAGACAAGCGGTTAGCAAGCGCTAGTCTATAAATTTCCAACGGCTCAAGAAAGATGCTCCCGATGACTTTAAATGGGCACTGGGTACTGAATGTATTCTGTGTGTAAAAGAACACACACAAAAATCAGCCTGCTAAAACTGAGATTCTCATAGATCTTAAATCTCACAGCGAATTAAACGCCCTGGAAAGTAAATGCCTGTCGGTTTGATGTTGACCACATAACTCGTCAAGTGTTGATTGGTCTATAAAATATACGTCTAGGCTTATATGCCCATTACGCATGCAGACGATAAAAAAGGGGTGCTTTATTAATATCCTAACCCAAACACGGGAAATCTACAGGTCACGGGGCAGTCTAATATTTCAGGGGGTGGTAGATAGGCTGCATGCAGTCGTGAGACCTTGACTGCACTCTCTCCTGAGACCTTGACTGCACTCTCTCCTGGGACGTAGTTGGGTCGGGGTTAGGGCCAGTTTTGGTTATTTTGGGGTCGATAAAAGCATCAGAAAGCCGGGAAACCCAGTCTTAACACCCTCTAAAATGTTGGACTGTCCTGCAACGTCATCTGGGGTAGGATATTAAAGAACCGAAAAGGGGTGGTTTACTTTTACCTTTTACAGAAAACTAAGAAAAAGCGTTTCAAAAACCAAAATGTGCTGGAGTTTTGGCTGCTTTTAAAAGATGAATTCAAAGTCTTGGCTGATAAAGCAAAATTAGTTTTTCTGCCTTTCCTTCTACATGTCTCAGTGAAGCAGGTTTCTACGCCTTTAAGACTACCAAAACAAAAACAAACAGAAACAGACACATTGCCAGCAGTTATCAATCAAATGCCTGAGAGGCGAGTAACCAGAATTCTGCACACAAGCCAGATCCGCAAAACTTATATACACGCAAAAACTTAACTTTTGGAACAAGATCAAAGTTTAGACGTAGACGAATAACCAGAATATTTCACCGGAGTTTAATCGGGTGAACGCGAAGAAGGCAAATTCCTTTTGTGAAGTACAGATAATTACCTGAACACTGATAATGATGTAACGAACCACGTAGTGTGTGTTTGACGTGTACAGATAACGCCCTCTGACATATTTATCCATGTTAGTCTTCTAGGCTTCATGAAAAGGGAACGTAGGGAGTTTTCGCCTCCTTAGTTTAATTCTGCACTCATGATGGCAAACAGAAGCAGGGGCACCGAAACTGTTAGGTTGGTGTGTGTGTGGGGGGAAGGGGGGGGGTGTGGAGTCAGGCACTTTGGCGGCCTCCAAACTATTTCAGGAGAGGGAAAGGGGGGGGGGGTTGACCCTCCACCCACTCCCTTCCCTTCCCGACCCCTCCCCCCCCCCCAAAGAAAATTTGTGAAGGGACTAAGCCCCCCTCCTTCCAATCGTGCATTTCATGTTATTTCTCATATATTACTTATTTGCATTCAACACTTGATAATAACGATTTACTAATATCAACACGCACTTTATATTCCCATGGAATATTCTCTAACCATGAAAACAGGCTATCTGTGAAATAAAAATTCAAGTAACTGGGACAGGGGCTTGGTCAGCTATGCATCAATGAGTTATCTTTCCGGAACTTGGAGTCCAGGTTACCAAATATACTTGTTCATGAGAATCTACTGATCCTCATTGTTACTTCGTGAGACGGAGACCAGCGTTAGTTTTATCTAAAGTTTAACTCTTTTCTAGACTTGCAACATTAAATGGGATTGTATAGCAATTGTTTATACAACGGACCAACATCATGGCACAAGGGGAGTAATCCACAAGTGCTCTGTTCTACTTCTAACTCAAGCTCGAGTCCGAAGAATCTCAGCGCCGTGCACGAACTCTGTAGAAACCGGCGAGGATACCTGAAAATATTTGGTTAGAACTCCAAATTTTGCCAGGGCAGCGCCGTTAGGCTACATTTTTCGATTTCAAACTGCCAATGGATTTTTTTTTTTTTACGTGCGTAACAATGCTCACGGGCGTCTGATCTTCCTAAACAGAGACCAGAGGAAATTACTAGAAGTCCACGTAAACAAATCCCAGCCTTCACCGGGGCATGAACCTGGGACTTCCAGAAAACGTACAACATTCGAGAAACATTGTCAGTGTCATGTTAGCTGTCGTGGTCTAGCGGCTAGACGCTAGCCCGCGGATCGGAAGGTCGTGGGTTTTTTCCTGACGAGGGCAGGATTTTTGTTAAAAAATGACCTTGGCTCTCAGGTTGACCCAGCCTTAAGTGGGTACAGTCCTGGAAAATAAAGGCGGCTAGCAATAATTCTGCCCACATCACCCACCTCGTGCCGTTTGGTCTATTAAATATAGGTCTAGCCCTATATACTCAATACTCCTGAAAGGCGTGGAAAATTGTCCATTACTGGTGTACTTTTCCGTGTATCCTAAGAAGCTAGTTAGCCTATGAACTTTGACCTGATCTTTGGCCTTTGATCCCATTTTGAAAATCTTATAATTCTGTGTTCATAGACGTAGACGTGGGAAACGTGCAAAGTAAGTTGATGTGCAAAACACTTCGATAAAGTGGTGAAATACATAAATACTGAACTCACATGCTGAAACTGAAACGTAAGTGAATATCAACTACTGTGTGGTTGTTTTATTTATAGGCCTTGTCTTGACTGAGTTTTTTTTTTTTCAGAAGAGAAGCAGGTGACCTTTTTTGTATGTTGTTTCAGTGATCTCAGTTCTTAGTGCTACTGACAGGTTACCGTTAGTTACAGTTAGGTTAGTTTGCCGTAGTCAGGAAAAGAAATAGTATTTATGTTATATAAAATAATACCCTGTTCAGCCCTTCTGAATTGTAATTTTGGCAAGAATGTTCTAAGTTTGTTTTTTCCCATAAGGGGGCTGCTTTATTGCTTATTACATTGATTATTTCATATTAAATATTTAATTAGCTATCCTCAGAATAACGGTCCCAAGTTATCCAGGCCGAAAATATACCCTAACAGGGCCTCAGTCACGTATCAATTGCGCACTTCCGGCGACTTAAATTGCGCACTTCCGCCACCGCCGAGAGTATCCCATACACCGCGTGAGCGGCGTGGATTGGGGGTGAACTAGATGGCTGGGACTCACAGAAACCTGTAGAAATCTCTGGAAAACACATTTTTGTTCAGAGGTCACTAATAAATTCAAAAAAAAAAAAAAAAATATATATATATATATATATATATATATATATATATATATATATATATATATATATATATATATATATATATAATATATATATGTATATTATATATATATGTGTGTGTGCATTTTAAAAATTGTTCGAAGTATATAGATTTATAAAAGGGATAATGAGTAAACATGATCAGAATCGGGTATTGAATATAAAATTTAAAAAATACATTCCCAAGGGGCCTAAACATGTATCAGGTGACTTATGCTGTACCCCATAACCCCACTACTATTGAGGTTTACGGGAATTTAACTTACCTTTTTATTGCGGACAGATCACTGCAGACAGGCCAGTGTCTTCGCATTTACTGGACTGTGTCACAAGTGGAAGTGACTAGATTTTATTCTTGAAGCAGCAGAGTTAAATCTTAATTTTCACTTGATGGGCGAAATTGAATTTTAATTTGTTAGGCAGAATGTACTAATTTTTTTTCTTTATTTGTCTTTAGACTTTCTGCCATCAGAAATGCCTGATCTAATTGCATCCGTTACAGTTCAAGATATTCGGTTTCCAACTTCTTTGGAGAAAGATGGTTCCGATGCGATGGTAATAGTTCTGATTAAGTTCTGGTATTTAATTACCATTTTCATTTAGGTACTACTGGTGGGGGGGGGGGGGGGGGGGGGGTGGGGGGGGGGGGGGGGGGGGGCAGGGGGGTGCATTCTCTCACCATACCTATTCAATATATACTCAGAAAATATAATGAGAAATGTCAAAAATGATCAGACTTGTGACAGTTATAATCCGCTCAAAATTGGTGGCAACCCTATTCTGGAACTCCGCTACGCAGATGACACAGTCCTCCTTTCGAACAGCGTGAAGGGAATAGAAAATTTAATATTGTCCGTCCAAAAGCACAGTGAAGATCAAAATCTGTTCTTGAATTTAAAGAAAACGAAAATAATGTCCACAGATAAAACTGGCTGTCACTCAAAAATAACAATAAATGATGAAGAAATTGAAAATGTCACAAACTTTGAATATCTAGGCTCTATAATAAACAACAATGGAGACTGTTCGACAGAAATTAAAAGGAGGATGGCCATAGCAATGCAAAGATTGAACAGCCTTAAAAGTCTATGGTTAAGCACCAGCAAGGAGATAAAAATTAGAATTTTGAGAGCATGCGTCTTCCCTGTGGCTACATACGGATGTGAGTCATGGACTATCTCTGTCCTTAAGAAAGAGAATAGGGGCTTTTGAGCTGAAATGCTTTAGAAAGATTCTCAGAATATCTTGGACAAAGAAGATGAGAAATATTGACATCTTAAAAGATCTGAACATCAAGGAAGATATGCTAATAAAAAGCATCCTTTCTGGAAAGCTGAAATATTTGTCATATCAAGCGCCACAACGTATTGGAAAAAATTATAGCAGAAGGCATGGTACCAGGAAGGAGGGGCAGAGGCCGACCGACACAAAGATGGGCACAGGATATAAGTGACTCCTTGAGTGTGAAAGTGCATGAGGTGGGAGAACTGGCGAGAGACTGAGTTTCTTACAGGCAGACTGTGATGAGAGCGACGTTCTGCAAAGGACCTGCTACATGATGATGACAACTGGTAGTGTCATTTCATGATTATTTGGCAGTGTCAGGATATGTAAAAACAAAAGCAGAAAAAGTTTATAGTTGGCTAACACTTTTGTTGCAGAACAGAGTCCTCCTCTTCAAAGGAGCAGCCTAAGACAGGTCCAGCCGACCCAGTGATGAATATATTTGTTTGACTGTTACTGCAAACTGTTCTTCCCATGATGCTTAAGGGCAAAACTGGAAGTTAGTGCTGATGATGATGAGTACCCACAAAGAGCTTTGGCATTTAGACATTAGAGAAGGAATGCACTTGAGCTTGGTGGCAAGAGTGACAGAAAGACAGCAGGAGGAAGGTAGAGATATAAATACCCGGGTCTCCTGGTCAGATGCATGGGGTGAGACAAGAACATTGAACTGATTCATGAACCTGGTGAGCTCGTGAGATGGCAAAACATGACAGCTTATGCTTACTGGCATAGCACATGATGATAGTGATTAGGGAAAGATAATATGCAGTCACCAACAGACTTCCTGTCTCCTTCTGAAACATATACTGACCCTGCTGACTCGGGACTATACTCTAAGCCAGTGTTTGCCAAACTTTTCTTAGTCGCGGCACCTTTTTTCAAGTAAAATGTTTTTGCTGCGCCCCTGTGAAGAGGTCGCCGATCGCCGGGGTGCCACAGTGCACTGTTTGGGAATAAATGCTCTAAGCTATAAGAAGATAAACTCCATCCTTGGTCAGGTTCATTTTGGGAAATCTTATGTAGTTTGTAGTTTCCAGTGTGGGTTTCAGAGCCACAAATAGGGTTAAACAAAGAATGGATCCACTGCCTCCTAACACGCATGACACAGGAGGCAACTAATTAGGGGAGTTCTCTCAAAGTAGGAGTGAATCACCCAGAGAGGTGGGTAACCAACAGTCTGCATACAGATCTGTAAAACTGATGTGCACACAGAACTCAAGTTCTGGAACAATACCCATGTCCAGAAGTGGATAAACAACCAGAACTTTCTGGCAAGAGTTTACAGCTGGTGAATGCTACAAGGAAGAGTTGAGTCAAGAATTGCACAGCACTCGGGGCAATTCCATGTGTTCTCCGTCCTCATCTTCAGCAGCCACCGCAGAGTTCCAATACTGATGGTACCGGTCACAATCTGGTTATATGTCCGTCTTGCCTTTCCTCTGAGTGTAGTGAGCCAGCCAGACCCTCTGGTAACACCCAGGTGCCTCATTCTCTCCAGGCCATAATAATCTTGTTTCTCTACTGATTCCGTTGCTTGTTCCCAAAGGGCCTTGACCACATCTGCCTTGTCATGTATCAATTTACTACAAAAAAGAATTATAAAGTTAAAAAAAAAAAACTTCTTTGTTGTCTGGTTATTTCTTCTTCTTCACATTCACTGGCTGTAAACTCCAGGGAATAGTTTTGTTTGTCCACCTCTGGAGTTTCATCTTGAGAACAGTGTGTTGCCCGGCTCTCTAGCGAAGTTGGTTAAACCTGACTTTCGCGGCGGCCGGGTGACGAACTCCTTGTGGTCCGGGTTCACTCCCGGGGGTAGGCAGAAAAGCCACATTTCTCCCAGATTAACGGTACCTATAATGGAATCAATGCCGAAGGGTTGCGATATCCATAGTACCGAGCCAAAGGGTTTACAACTCATGGTTTCTGGATACGTTTAAAAAAAAAAAAAAAAAAACAGCTTTGACTTATCTGTAAGCTGATTGTTGATTCCTTGCCTCTGACCAAATGCACTTAGACTAAGAGTTGACACATCAGCACTCAGGACATATCTCTGGGTGGTCCGTCTACTAAGCAGATGGTGTTGATACTAATTATTCCAGTCCTGTACTGATTGTGTGTACAAGACCTGTTGTCAAATGCACACCTTCCAGTTGCTGCTGCTGCTGCTACTAATTCCATATTCCAGCGGCCTTGAACAAGGCCGAATGCTGTGCAAGGTTGCAGGAACCTGGGAGTTTAGGCACCTCAACATCCTCAACTTGGGAGTGGCGAGAGGCTTCCTTAATGGCACCCACCAATTTGTTAAGGGTCTGAGTCGCTCCCACTCTCCAACAATGTAAATAAGTTCTCTTAAGTTTTTGTTTATACATATACAAATTATATCAAATATATTATCAATTTTTTTACCATTTAGCACCTTATTAATATTTGTATTGCCACTTAAGTATGACTTCTTTTTTCTTCTTCCGCCTTTCTAACCCTCAGTGAAGCATAGGCCCTCAACCAACTCACGCCAAGTCATTCTATCCTTTGCTATCGCATGTAGCTCTCTCCATGTCCTCCCCATCTTTCTAACTTCATTCTCCTGCTCTCTTCTTCATGTATTTTTTAGCATTCCTGTATTCCTATGCGCTCGTGGGTTCCAATGCAAAGACATTTTAGTTATATTGTTCTCCAGTTTTCTCAATGTGTGTCCTATAAGCATGTCTTACCTTTGTCCAAATCAGTACATTCCAGTCTGCTACCAAACTGCTTGATGTTGAATCAAACCCTGGTATGTCTTCTGCGTTCATCCAATGGTTTAAAGTGTAAATGTACTGTGCCCATTTACATCATGACTGGCAATGTTGGAGCCTTTTGGCCGTCACATCTGACTTCTGCAGGCGGTTGTTGACTGGGCCAGCCTTCCTGGAAATGGTGGAATTATGAAACTGTGTTTATTTCCTCTTAAGTCACCGGTGGCAACACAGGCAAAAGCAGCATTTAGTTATGTGTGGCAAATTTTGAGAACATTGAAATAAACTGACTTAGTTTTATAAATTGAAATCTCATTTTTACAGCCTTGTTTTAATTTAATAACTTTGTTGCATATTAACAGAACAAAGCCCCTGACTACTCCAGCCCTTACGTGACAGTAACAACTCAGGCAGGTTTGATTGGACATGGCATCACATTCACTGTGGGTCGTGGAAACAACATAGGTAATGGATGTGTGTCCTTGTGGGCTGTGTGTATAAATCACATAACATGTTATGCAAGATTGTTTCTTTTACAGTCTGTTAAGAAGGGAGGTTTAAGGTTTTGAACAACGGATCAACATCATGGCAAACGGGTAGTAACCAATAAGCGCTCCGTTCTTCTAACTCAAGTCTGAGTCTACTCTTTTTTTATTTCCAACTACCAAGATATTTTTTACAGGCGCAACAATGCACACAGGCGTCCGATCTCACTACCCAGAGACCAGGGGGAATTACTAGAAGTACAAGCCCACCTGAAAAAAATCTCAGGCCTTACCAGGGATTGAAACCCAAACCTCTAGCAATCAAGGCGGACACCATGCCTCGAGACCACGCAGCCCCCTTAAGTAGGGAATATTGTCCAAGTGAATCAGTGTCATACTCAGACTTGAATAGGACTAAAGGGGAGCTCTAAAGAATGGTCAGTTTTATCATGCAACCTCTTCTGTCTGTGTAAATCAGGGATACAAACACAAGAAGAAATTTTTTTTTGGGTCTTTCACAAGTTTCTAGGCAAAAAAAAGCATCAATGCTCCATGCAATGTTCAGTGTTTTAACATGGCCGTGAACCTACCCATGCCCTGGTAAAACTGGCAGTTTTTTTTTTAAATATGGTTGAAAAAGGGGTGAGGGGTGGGAGGAGGAGCAATTGATTATACAATTTAGTTTTATAGGATTAATTGATTTTAATAACTCTTTGTGTCCCAAGGAACGCATCGTACGTTCATAGGTTCCTACCTAGAAGCCCAATGAGCGCATGATACGCCAATTTTATTACTGTCTTTAGTACCCCCTGGGCCTGTGATGCTAAAACCTCTGAGACTCAGAGTTTTATTAAATTGTTACTGTATCTTATATTACATGTTTTAACAACCACTAGCATTATGGTTGAGACAAAATGTTGTCAATGTTCTACAAGAAATATTACAACTACCTTAGTGCTAAATTAGTCCTAAGGACTGTTTAGAATGGAATATTGTCCAAGTGATTCAGTGTCAAACTTGAGTTGAATAGGACTAAAGGGAAGCTCTAAAGAATGGTACATTTTATCATGCAAACTCTTCTGTCAGTGTAAATCAGGGACTCTACAGGGCTATGGGGTCACAGTATGAGTCACTGTATAAATTGTTTGGTCAAATAGGAATATAGTCATTTAATTCTTTGCTCTATGCATTTTTGACTACTCCCTTTCATGTATTTATATTTTTAATATATATGTAAAAAAAATGCTCAAAATATCTGAATTTACTGGTTATCAATGAGCATCAGAAGAAGAACAATCCTAGACCTCATATAGGAAACTAATGGAAATAAAAATATAGGAAGAGATTTCCTATTCCTTTATTTGATATTCTGTTATAGTTATTCAGATGACTGTCCCTATTGGAGCTGGTGTTTAAGATTCTAGTTGTTGTGTTGCTCTATGATAAACATTTTGGTTAAAAGATTATTTTTGTGTATGTTTTTTTTTTTTTTTACCTCACTCTCATCCTCACTGAGCTTCCATTACTGATGGAATTCATTTTTTTTTAAATATCAGTTGACTCCAGTCATCCCTGATTTCATTGTAGATATGACGCTTGGTTAATTGATTGCATGCAGTTTGTTGCAAGTTTTCCTGTTTAATGGACTTGTCTTTTTTACAGTATGTGAAGCCATAAAGTTGCTGAGTGGCCTCATCATTTGGACCAGACATTGAGGTCATCTTTTCTGATTTTGCCGGTTTCTGTGAGGTCACTCACCATGTGAAGACCAGATCAGATGTAATGGTAAATGGTTTTCAGAAGTGACTCTCTAGGTTAACCTGGTCTATATATTAGTAACTGCTAATTGTCCTAGTAAAAAAAGATGGCTGAATGAAGTCGACCACATCAGAGATCAGGTACCAGGGTTGGGTCTATAAACAATTCTTGTGAAGTAGGGTCAGGGCTAGTCTTGAAAAGGGTAATTGACTTTTCTTACTTTCTTCCAGTGACTTGGAGCTGTCCATAATTGACTTTGTAAAGATATGCCTCAAAGATTCGTTTATAAGTTTACTGTGTTGCAACCTTTTTAAGTCAGGTTTTTTCTCCCGGTTCTTTTATTTTGGCTTATGAAAAGACATTACCAGTGCGAACTGGTATTTTTATTAACTCTTGTTTCTATTTAAAGATAGTTAATTTTCATATGAATTGTTATTTAAACTCCTTTTTAGTACAGGTGTTTTACTAATTCACAAATTTTTTTTCCCCCCGATTGAATT